AAGTTGTAATAGGAAGGGATAACTAGAATCAAATCTAATCTAGGATTTACATAATCACATATAAACTAGGAAAGTTTACAACAAGATGTCCAATTTCAGAGGTAAGGATGCAGACTTATTGCAATAATTAATTACTAACTGACATAACTCACTTAACAAACAGGACATATATTTTCAAAGAACGAGCTTTCTATTTCCTTACTAAATCGAGCCCTATGAAGCACGATTCTTATGCATTATTTTAATTTTCAAAAAGTATACCATAATAAGTTAATCGTAAGTAAGAAGATTGATTATGAAGAGAAAATAAAATATAGAAGCCTTATGGGCAAATGTGGGTTTGATCACAAGAGAGGATTGGTGCTACTAGTAATGGAACGTGAACCGCTAAGTTTCGACAAGGTACATTTAACATAATTCAACGAAAAATGCTTCTAACTTATCTTTAACTTTTCTCCAATTTTATCTTCTTCAAGAATTCTTACTCCAGCCTTTCTTTTTGTTTTAATTCCATGAATTCTCTTATGAACCTTCCGATCTGTTGCTACTGTATACAAAGATGTCCAACAATAAGACCTTTCAAACAAAATTCAACGTCTCGTTTGTTGTCCCGGATTAGCTTGGTTTGGACAACCCTAGATTTAATGTACTTTGAAGGAAGAAATTGATGCAACTTTTGAATTTTGTCCAATTGAAGGTAGAAGATCAATTTTTCATGAAGCAAGCTTATCCCTCCCAATCCTACTATTTTTGTTTTTTTTTTTTTGACGTTCAAATGGGTCAAGACTTCGAAGTTGCATCCATTTTCTCATTCAAGATACAATAAATCTACAAAGTTTTCTAATCCAAACCAATTCTAGACACCAAACGAGGCAGTTCTTTCTGGCAATGTCCAAACCATTTTATCTTTTTAAATAAGTTTTGCAAATCCACCAAAGTGAGACAGAAATAGAACATCCCAAAGGCACTTTTTAATTAGTTGCCAGACAAAATAGACAAATATGCAGGATGATATTTTTCAAGTTAACAACTAACACAAATAAAATAAATAAATTACAACAAAAAGGCAATAACTTGAAAAGAAAAGAAAATTGTGATTTTCTTAATCCAGAAAAAAAAATGGTTGTGTTTACTTATGAATATATTGGGTTCAAATAAAAGCTAGCCAAACTTAAGATGAAAATTTTGAAAAATAACCAAATTTTAGATCCCATATAAAATTATGGCTATCATTTTAATTTTATGATAATTGTAACAAAAACTTGATGTAAAAGTATTAATATATCCTTAATATTAAGATTTTTTATGATAACCCAAACACAACCTTTAAACTAACTTAAAATGAGGAATCAATTTCTATCACTTTTTTTTTTCATTATTCTCTAGAACTTTTGAACTACTTTTTGCAACCTTCCAAATTTTTGTAAAAGGGTGTGATATTCACACAACCTATTTTACTTTTCACACATCCTTCTAATTTTCGGCCGTCGGATAAGATGAATTGAAAAAAATCATCGGGTAGAAATTAACAAGGGGTGTGTAAGAAGTAAAATGGAATGTGTGGATAGCACACCCCCTTTGTAAAAGGATACAACAACCATATTTTACCTTTGGCTGCACTTTCATTGTTCAATCACCTATCAATTTTAGAATCTTATTGGAAGTACCAATGACACACCCCGACCTAAATCAAGGCGTGCTGGCCGTCACGTGAGAGTGATATAACCATGTGCACAGTGCAAAAGCAATAGAGATATAAGGAATTACGAATAATAAAAACCAAGTTAACTAGAGAACTAGCTAAGATAGAGTGCTAGAGAGATATTAAGTGAAATACACAACCAGAGCATAAATATCCTAAGTGCAGTCAAGCAGGATAAGTACTAATTATTCAACACCCAAAGGTGATCATACATTTATGATGTTCTGTCAGAACCACCGTCAAAATCCTCATGATCCACCAGAGCACTTCTACCTAAAACCTAGAGCGGCGCAAAACAGAAAGTGTGAGTGGGCAAAAACAAAGCTTTTCAAAATAATTTCATTTCTCAAAAGTTCTAACCCATCGCCGTAAAACCTGTATAATTTCCCGGAAAATAATAATAATAATTTGAATCAGAAATCATACTGAAGATGAAAATCCATAGAAGCATACCATGCCAAAGTATCTCAATGCAATGCTATAGGTAAACCAAGCAAAATATATCAATGTCAAATATCGCATCAGCCAAATCTCTCTAACTCAAACTGCACTGCTGAGTATATAGCTCATAACCAATCTCAATCATATCAAATCAAATCAAATCATGCACACGAGTCAGAACCACCTAGAGTGGTCTGTACGACAAGACTAGGTGTAAAGTAAATATGCTCTAGTGCTACGATCACGAGAAGGCTGTGCGAATAATTGCAGGTCACCTACAAGTCGAAACCACCTAAAGTGGTATGTACAACAAGCCTGTGCACCTAACTTGGATCCAAGGTGAGCATAAGGTGCGGGATGTGAACATCACGTGAAGGATTGTGCCCTAACTCTGGGCGGGAGCACTAACACCGAGTGCAGGTTTATGAGCTCTCAATACATCACATCATATCTTACATAACTGAAGTAACCTCATATCTTTAATTTATGAACTTACTTGTGCGTCCGCAGCACCAATCATAAATATATGCAACTACTAATGCATAATAAAATAGATAGATACTTTGCATGGCATTTCAAAAAGTTTAATCATTCAAATTCATTTTCTGGGAAAACTCAAGTATATAGGTATATACGGAAAACCAAAAGCCCACTCACTGATATGTCGAAGGGTTGTAGCCGCCGAGCCTCGATTGATGGTGCTCGTCTTCAGGATAGGTCTCACCTATATGCGAAATAACTGAATAAATGTTATTTAAAGAACATACACAAAGCTAGGAAATAACTTCTCATAAAAAGCTCAAATGGGGTATTTGAATATACCACCATGATTTACTCAACCTCAGGAACATCACCATATTTTTTAGAAAATTTTCCGACCTCCCACGCGCTGCCATGCACCAGCCAAGGCACGGCCAGACACGCCCCCACGCGCGGCCATGTGCCTGGCACGCCTAACAAAATCTTTAACGGCGTTAGGGAATATTCCGTCAAAAAGCAGCATATTTCGTTAAAACTAACCTGACGCCGTCAGAATATTCCGTCAAACTTGATGGAATATTTCGTCGTCTTCAACCTTCGAACTCCGGTGACCGACGACGTCGCCGGAAAACTGGAAAACTTCAAATCATCATTTCCCGCTCATTTCTCAACCAAATTTCATGAAATTTGTACCAAAATGAAGCTTCAGACAAGAGGAACAAAACCTTACCACTTTCAAGCCTTGAAATCCACGGGATTTCTCCAATGGAACCTCGATAATCTGGCCAAACTTGAAACTCGCCAAACTCGACTTCCCGACGTCCAATTCACTTCGTTTTTCTTCTCCGAGCTTCGTGAAGATGTCCTATAGCTCACTAGCAGCTTAAAATCTTCTAAAAACTTCGAAATCATGAGTGCATGAACAGTGCTCCAATCGGAGATTATGTTTTCTCGGGTTTTTTGGGATTTTCATGTCCAACCATCACTACCATTCGACTCCTAAGCTTGCAAGGAGTCCAAAAACATCGATCACAACCTCGATCTGTGAAGTTTGAAAGGGTTTTGAGGGTTGTCCGTACAGGTTGTACGGTAATGGCAAGAAATCCGAGGGAGGGAGGAGAGAGAGAAGTCAACGGGAGTGGTGTGTGTGAGTGTGAGTGTGTGGTCCAGTTTTGGGCTACTAACAACCACAAAACCATAATTTTTAAGTTCTAAAAACTTAGGAACTAATTAGATTAGTCTAACACCCAAACTCAAACCACAACACTACACCATATACTCAACATCCAAGGGTATTCTAGTCAATTCGCACCATCGAAAAATATATTTCGGGACGGGCTGTCACAACCAAGAAGCCTAACAATTTAACCTAGGCTTTGTTTTTTTATTTTGTTTTTTTGTTTTTAATTCATGCTTTATTCTTTGTTTTTATTTTGTTTTTTATTTTCGATAAACTCTGTCCATCTATATTCAGATCTGCAATATTATAGGTTGTGTTTTGCTTGTTGTGAGACATCCTGATATTAAGAGTAGATTAGTACTTTTACATCAAATTTTGGTTATAATTATCATAAATTTAAAGTGGTGGCTATAATTCTTTATGAGATCTAAAATTTGGTTATTTTTTCAAATTTCGTACTAAAACACCATAACATTAATTATACCGGATTCTTGCTTACTTCGACCATAAAAAGAGAAGATTTCAAACATTAATCCAATGACATATATTAATAAAAAGAAAACCCCTCCAATTAGCAATGTGGAGTGGCTTACCACGTGGACAATTTAAATGTAGCGTAAAAAACATGTGACTGTTGAACTTTAAATATGGCTAGACTAACTTGTTTTAATACTACAAAGAAAGTTTAGGTTATTATTAAAATCCAATTTATAATAGGACAGTACAAGACTTAATAAACAGGTGTATGAGTTTTCACATCCAGACGGTATCTTCCATGTATAAATATAGGGTAATGCTAGAGATATTAAAATTTTAAATCAAATTGTATAAACCAAATGATGTGATTGATGTGTTTGGATTATTAATTAAATATCGATTAACGTACTTATTTTCTATTAATGATACATCATTTAATTTATAAAATTAATTTAAAATTTTAATATTCCTAACATTATTCTAAATTATGAAAGCTCAATAACTTCTTAACAGTATGTTAGAAGCTAAACCAATATCGACCCCACAACTCGAATCAAAGATTAACAATTTTGATATCATTTACTATTGGTTGTCCTTCGGCTGCTATAAGTAGAATAGGGTTTTGCATACTTTCCCTGCACAAGACAACCGTACTTTCTCTTGCACTCTGACTAACTTACATTACCTTCAATATCTTCACCAGCCCCGCTACAACCAACAATGTCCGGAGTGTGGATATTTGACAGAAACGGCGTCGTTCGGCTGGTCACCAACCCAACCAGGGAGTCGTTCGAGCAAAAAGAGCCGCCGCATCCGGGTACAGCCACCTCACCCGGTGCTCGGCCCCGAGTCTTGGTCTACCTCCCAGCCAACCAGGTCATTCAATCCTACTCCGAACTCGAGCAGCGACTCACTGAACTCGGCTGGACTCGCTACCCCAACTCCAATCGGCCCGACCTCCTCCAGTTCCACCGCTCCGAGAACTCAGTCCACCTCATCTCGCTCCCAAATAATTTTGCCAACTTGAAGTCCTTCCATATGTACGACATCGTCGTCAAGAATCGCTCCTTCTTCGAAGTTCGTGACCCTGCTGCATTGCAGAACTAGGGTTTATGGTGCTTTATTCATCCTCAATATGCATTTTGGTCATCATGTAAACACCAGGTTTGCGTCAGCCAATTAACAGTGAAATATAATTGTTTCATCTCTTTTTTTTTTTTTTTTGAATAAATGATATTATCTATGATTTAAATTCGTATGTGATGAGAATCAAACCGAAGATCTGTACCAATAAAAGGATATACTACTGGACTGTACCACTAAATGGCCTCGGAGGATAATTAAAATCCTACATTTATGTGGTTGATAAAACGATTAGAGAAATTTACATTGGCTTATTCTTTAATAAACACATCACTTGTATCATAATGTGATCGTGTTCTAAATTATCGAATCTTAATTATAATATTCAAGTTTTTAGCAGTCTTCCTTTTTCATGTTTTATCAATTGGTGCATGTGTTTTTATTTCTTTGGAGGCATTTTAATAACAATTTTGGTTTTAGTTCTTCAGTTTTTATTTTCACTATTTTGTAAAACATAAAAAACCAATTGAGAAAAAAAGTATAAAAAAAAAAAATTGAGTTTTCAAAATTTGACTTTCAGTTTTATGCTGAAAATAGTTACTATATAAGTTTTTAATAACTGAAAATAAATGAAATGGAAATGGATATCAAACAACCACTTTTAATTATTTTTTTTTAACATCTTGTAGCAATTAGGATAAGAGGAAATCATTTTGTCACTAAGTGAACAATAATATTTTGTAATGAGTGCTGTAAACACGAAATTATGTATGTTCTATGATAGTCTCTCTCTCTCTCTCTCTCTCTCTCTCTCTAAGATAATAGAAACTCACCTTCATCCTTGGTAGGCACATACACGGGGTGTAGGTAAGCCTTCCCAGTCTTCCCCAAAGATAGGGTTGTGGGTTAATCCTTATGATGGTTTGTTTGAACTGCTTGCATGTATGTTGATCAGAAGCATATAGCACCGGTGAGACTGAGAGAGTAACCAGTGAGCCCCCACATGCATTAATGATTGTCAATCAAAACCAAGACAAAATCCAACTGGAATTTGCAGTTTGTAATGAATATTAGAGTCATCAAGAACATGTAGCTAGCTAGCTATACCGTGTCCTTTTGATTGTTAGTTTCAGAAGGCAGAAGTACCACAGAGAGCTGTAGAGATTTAATGCAAAAAGGTTATATTGAAGGAACCGGATCCCCGCATAGGGTGGGGATCCTCCTGAGCTGATCATCTAGATCATTAAAATTTAATTAAACGGTTATAATAATTATAATTTTTAGAGAGCTTCTGTTTGTAACCGTTTAATTAAATTTCAATGGTCTAGATGGTTCGATCAGGAGAATCTTCATCCTATGCTCAGGAGGGGATCCGGTTCCTATATTGAATACTTAAAATAAAAGGAAAAAAAAATATATATATATATATAAAGGAATCCTCTCCGGATAACTTTCATCAAGTCCACTAAGATCACAAATTCGAGTTTTTGAAATTTGATTCAACGGTTACAAACAATAATTCATTTTAAAAGTTATAATAACTTTAATCGTTGTATCAAATTTTAAAGGTTCGAATTTGTGGCCTTAATGGAAGGGATCCAAAGACGAACCTTTCCTATATATATATTGTGGACTCGGTAGTTGCTGTGTGTTGAAAATATTGAAAAGAACCCGTTACTTGTACCACGTATTATGTACTACCTATAAACCAGTGTCCATGCCATTATTATGGAAAAATGATTATCTCCGAATTCCTTCTATCAAATCATCTCCATCAAATAATTTGTGGCTTTGAAATTTGATCCAACAATTAAAGTTATTATAACTTTTAAAATGAACCTTTATGGTAGCTGTGTGATCAAATTTTAAGAATCTGTAGTATATGAAGAAGACTTGATGGAAGGGATACGAAGAGAATTCTATTCCCATTATTATTGCAAAGCTCTGAGAAGTAGCAGAAAAGCTAGCTACAGCTTCATAAATGCAGATCATATGATGGTATGATATCGGACAAGGATCCTCTTCAGATGTTTTTGTGAAAATTCGGGAATCAATTAATTATGTCTATTTATCATACATCGTACGGTTAGTAATTATTTTAAACTTTAAATTTTAAATTGAATATAAATAGTATTTAATAAAAATTGACTGCATAATATATAATGAACAGATATATTTGATTGATCTGGATTCTTACAAAGAAGATCCGAAGAGGATCCTATTCCGTATGATATCCTTTTGTTCCAGCCCCATTGGGTTATATCTATCTGCATCTCATTTCAATTTTCTAAGACTGCTTATCTCGCTGTGGTCAAAGGAAATCTGTTTTTTTGCGAGGCACAAATTTTTAGATGCTCTGAGGTATTTGGTATTTCAGATGTTTTAATCGTTAAATCTTGATTATAGTATTTTTAAATAAAAAATTAACAAATTAAATATTTAGAGTACCTGATAATCTGGGAAATGGATTCTCTCCGGATTCTTTATATCTAATCTTCCTCATCAAATAATCTGGATCTTTGAAATTTGATCAAACGGCTAATAATATGAGCTTATTCTAAAAATAATAATAACTTTAGTCGTTAAATCAAAACTCAAAAGCTCAAATTGTTTAATGAGTATAATTAGCTAAAAAGGATTAGGAGATGATCTTTTTCCAATACTCTGGAGCATCCAAGAAAGTCTCTTTGCATAATGTGTGGTGACCTGATTCGAATCTTGGGGTGGCCCCATTGGATATCGACCTGGCAAAGCTGGAAATATGGGGATTTTCTAGCATACTTCAATGTATTTTATATTTCAGAATTTTTAATCATAGGATCCCTAGCTAAAATAAACTAAATAAAATCTAATGATTCAAAACTTCGGAATATGAGATAGAAAAAAGAACTAGAGAATCCTCGTAGAATCCTTTTTACGAGGATTCTACATATCTTTTAATTACATTTATTTATCGTAAATAATACGATCAAAAATTATTGTAAATTTTTTTTATTTAAAATTAAATATAAACAGTATTTGATAAAAATTGATCACACGATGTACGATAAACAAATGTAATTAAAGGATTCTTTATATCCTCACAAAGATGATCGGGAGAAGATCCTCTCTTGAAAAACAATAGAGCAAGAGAGCACGAAAGGAAGGAGGACAAGGATTGTCTGCCCTTCACTTCCGATGCCCTCCTGTTTTATGTGGTTACGGTTAAGTCACGTTAACATTTTATATATTTTTTTATAGATATAATAAGATAAAAATAAATAATAATATAAAATATTGACGTGGTTTAACCGTGACCACATAAACAGAAGAGCACAGAAAAAGCATCAGAAGTGGAGGGCAGACAATCCTTCTCCAAGAGAGAGGAAGTAAGATGAAAAACAGATCACAGCTAGGTCGTGACAAGACACATCGAGCTGCTGATTCAGGAAGGTCTCATAGCCATCTGCATAACGTACAGATGGTAATGAATACTCATTAGGCTTCAGTATAGCTTGATGATCCTATACGCTACAGTATAGCTACTATGATACCATCGCAAGCCCTAATGTTCATCTTATTTTAATCGGTCAATTACTTCTATGTGTGCTATTAAACATGACAGATTAGTGGAAGTTTGCCAAAGACAAATAGAACAATGGCACACTGGTCTTTTGTTTTGGTCCTGTGTTTTGAATTTTACCAATTTTTATCCTTGTTTTAACTCGTTAACAATTTTTGTAATTTTGTATAATTTGACATTGATCTTCTTCTTTTTGTTTAGATTAAAAGAAACTCTATTAAAAAAGATCAAAAACTTACATAGGATAGGTAAATCAAAAGTTGTCATCGCAGCAAACCAAGAGGTCACATATGCTAAAAGAAACAAAACAACTTCACAATTACAAATTTATCATTAATACAATGTAATTCCTTCCTAGTCATGGAAGACCAAAATCCAATCAACATGAAAGACTAAACCTTCCAAGCCGAAGAACTAACATAAAGGCACCACGAGGAAAATACCGCCCTAGGAGTTACCTGCACTAACCTTGAGCATCCTACTCATAGTCATTTCCAAACGCACAAACCACAAAACCACTCCAGGCTCTAAGATCCAAGGTGGAATAGTTAGCTATTACTGTAACAAAAAGTTGTACTCTACAGAATGAGACAATAATCGCAACCACGAAGGTCTCCTTGGCAAAGCGAGAGAGGGTCACACATTATATTATGCGTGCGCTACGCGTGCACATTTCCAGGTTATGTTTTTTTTGACATTAATCTACTTGTACTACCATTAAACTAGATACTGTGGAGAATAGATTATCAAACTTGGCTTTCCAAAAATGTTCTCATCCAGCAAGTTAATTTGTAATACTGCAGTTTTTCTCGCTGATGCATGTGAAGTAGTTTGCAAGGTTTGCCATCAGCGAGATGCGACAAATTAACTTAGTTTTACGTTAGTTTTGTAGCCCTAGTTTGTTACTTATGCGCATAGACAATTAAGGGTTATGGTTTCGATGTATCTGAAGGCTTCTTGTCAAGTGACCCCGGCCTCAACTATTCATATAGTACTCGATCAGCCGTTCAAAGAAAAGAAACAAAGATTAAGGCATTAACTTAAGTATTGATAGATAAAACCACTTAGTACTACGATCTAGTAGTATTCTTCTTCACTGATAAGTGAGATGTCTTAGGTTTGATTATCGCCAAATGCGAATTTAAACCACTTTATTGCTAACTCATTGTGAGACTTTTAGGTTTGATTATCGCCAAATGCGAATTTAAACCACTTTATTGCTAACTCATTGTGAGACTTAACTTACTCTCACACCTCCTTAATTTTAGTGTAAATAATATCGTTTGTTAAAAAAAGTATTGATAGGTGAAAAAACGAGAGTAGTGGTTTGTGTGCTGTAAAAAATAGTGCTACCTTCAAAGTAATGTTATTATGACTCTTTAAAGCTAATCACACTTTTGACGCGCCCTTAGTATACAGGTGGGTATCACATATAATAGTAGGACTTATGATCTGATTAACA